CTTACTGTTGCGAAGAAAACCTTCCAAATGTGAATTGAGAATAAATCAAAGTAAGTGCAAATTGTCCCAAACTTTTTTTAGTGGACAGTTAACTCTGAAAACCAGAACTGGCTGAACTGCTGTGAAATGGGAACTGCATTCAGAAAGACTAAAGTTGACTGGGCTGGTGTTGGAGAGGGAGAAGATGGAGCAAACAGATAGAATATTTGAGAAAAACTCCAAGATGTTGATTTTGGAGATGAGAAGGATGAAAAGCATATCATTTGGGAGCAATAGTCATTACCTTTCAACTGTTCTAATGCTCTTCATTTCAGCCCCAAATGCAATGTCATTCTATCTGGGAGTTCTCTCACTACTTACAGCAGGGTCTCAAACTAAACCGAAAGACGTGAGTGCACGCACACGTTATTTTGATTGCATTCAAGCTAGCTAGGAAAAATGGGTTCCTTCCATACAGCAGAGTCTGCTGGCAATTTGCCAAAAGTCTGTACCATGTGAATTGGTGAAATAATATAATGACTTGTTTTGCATATATAATACATTCAGCTCAAGGTCCTCTATATTAAGAAGGGATTTTAATTCCTTTAACTAGGTGATCAGCTATATAAAATATGAGTATGGGGCATAAAGGTAATATTAAATAACACGAGAGATGTTTTTTAAGAATTAAACTAGTCAGCATTGTAGTGATGCTAATATCTTTAAGATGGTCCGTATTGCTCTCTCTCTCTCATCCATCCTATTTAATTTGTGAGAAAAGGAAACTTTTATATATTTGCATATACTTATATACAAGCGACATTTTGGGAGATGATAGAAAGTGGTCTAAAAATTAGTCTCCTACTACAGTTTGCCATGTCACTGAGAAACTAGTGCATTCACTCACCCAGGAATTATACTCCACTTTCAGTCCTATGAAAAACATTCAAGAGGCAATGGTGAAGTGTGTCCTTGCAGCATTTCTACCCAACAGAAATCCTACAATGGTTTATTGTTAATTTACTATCTCCCTTCAAATGAGTAGTTTTTTGTTCTATTTCATCAATTTTGTACTGTAATCTTTGACACTCAGACAAATTATTGTCTGAGAAGAAACTTAAGCACTTATTTCAGCACATGGTATCGGTTTTCCTGCGCTGCATACTAAAACTGCAACAATAAGAAAGATAAATGTTTTCTACACTCAGAATGATATTCAAGCTATGACACAGCGAAGTTAGCTGGCAAGGAGTCAGGAACCACTGGAAAACAGTTTCTGAGAAAAATGAGAATTAAGCAAAACTTATTGACAGAAATTTCATATAACAGTTGTTTAGGGAGAAAAAACAGCAGGGGTCAGAGAACAAGTGTGAAGAGCAGAGAAGCATTCTGAAAGTGAAAACACAGCTTGCTTTCATGACAGAAAAGTCCTCTAGAGTTATTTCTTCTTGGTTAATCAAAAGGACCCTCTCATGCAAGTTACATTTTACCAACATTATTAATTACAGTAGTGCCTAAGAGCCAACTCCATTGTGCTTGGCACTGTACAAACACTGATAGCTGGTCCCTGTCCCAAAGAGTTTACAATCTAAATATACAAGACAGACACAGGGTGGGGAAAAGGGCATACAGGGGTGAACAATGTGATGTGGCAGCAAACATCATGTTACTTGCACAAGTTGCGGGGAGGTAGCTAGAAGGGGATAAGCTACATGGAAAGAAAAGGGAAGGGAGAGGGGACAATGAAAGAGGAAGGGGGTGAGGGGGACAGGGCAGAGACAAGCAGATAAGACAGACAGGTGTGGAGTGAGTGAAGCTAAAGTGAAGAGACTTCTAAGGAAAAGGGAGGGTTGGAGCAAACAGCCAATCAACACAGGGCAGAGAAAGTCCAGTCAAAATGGTAGAAAGTTCTCTGAATGTCCAGAGGACCAAAGGTCTCTACTTTGGCTGCTTCTGATCCTACAGTCTGGAGCCTCTGGATGGCTCCTCTCTGCAGATTTACCTAAGGCCACACAATGGGGAGGGGTTGGAGAAAAGAGAGAGAGAAAGGCACTACCTGGGTCCTAGACCTGCCAGAGTTTGGGAGGGAGGTCTTCCCTGCACAGCTCTGGGTCCTCGGAGGAATCTTAACCCTCCACAGCAAGACAGGATTTTACATTATGCTTTTACATTGTGCTTCACCTCAAATTTCCCAACCCCTTCTCCTTTTCACTCAGGATTCTCCAAATCACTTATTGGTAATGATAATTTATGTAGCACCATAAATGTTAATATTGCTGTACTTAACACAGAAAAGACAGACCCTATGACAAATGACTTTACAATCCAACACAATCTAGCTAATCTACCTAATGCCCAACAACCAACTTCCAGCTGTAGTGATAATGCTGACTACTCTTTGGGGTGTCTCTGGAAATTATAATATTATTTTCAACAGTCCCTCTTCTGCCTTTCTATTGGATTTCTTTCTCAGGAGAGAAGTGAAGTAAGCATCAGACTCACCTGAATCAGAAAAGGCCATGCACTTAGGCTGTATGCTGTGAGCTCAGAATATTCTTTAGAGCTTTTCTTTTCTGTACCTACTAACCAGACGTCTGGCGTCACCTCACTGAATGCCCACTTACCTGCAAATTAGGCATCATGGCCTAAATTCTCAAGTAGTTAGTGATGATTTTGGGTGCCTGTATTTTCAGATGCCCTATTTGAGGCACTTCCAAGGACCTGATTTTCAGATGGTGGACGCTCAGCACTTTCTGAAATTCAAGCTCCTTTAAAGTGCCTCAAGTTAGGCACCCTACAATTGAAGTGTCCACAATCACCAGTTACTTTTGAAAATTATTCATTTGCCAAAATGCTTAATTTGCCAATGATCGGGAGTTAATTGGAGTGACACCAAAGAGGCCCATATCTCCCCACAAAACAAAATTAAGTGGAACTCAAGACACGGTAATGGCCTAATTGCTGTTATCACTATTCTTGGTTATTTGTATTGAGGTAACACCTAGAAGCCCCATGCATGTACCAGGGCCCTGCTGTGCTAGGCGCTGTATGAATGCAGAACAAAAAGACAGTCCTCGCCCCAAAGAACTTACAGTTTATGTGATATATTCATTTCTTTTATGTGCCAGTTTTAAAAACATTCGAAGAACGCTTTCCAGGTGTCAAAGACATCCTTTGAGTTGTTGCAAATCTGAATAGAATAACATTAGATTACAGGAAAAAAACCTCCTCCACTCCCATAAGAGACCTGCATATTCTTTATATAGCTCACAGACCATTTTTTCCCTGCTTTATTCAGCTTGTACTAATGTGTTCATTCAGTGCCTAGGCCACATACATTCAACATAAAAACGATTATGAGAAATGTGCAAAAAACTGGTCCTCCTAATAAAAAAGACTCTTTCACTACCCCCACATCCTTCTGCTCCTCCGATCTCTCCAGTAAAAGCCTGGGAGAACAAATGGGTCTTAGAGTGTGACCTGGAAGTTAAAAGACTTGGAGTGAACAGAAGTGGCTTCCAAGTTGAGGACCTCTTGCAATTAAATCAAGGGAATGTTAGCTAGAGCACCTCAGCTGATCTCAACACCTCCAGTATTTGGTTAGGAGAGAGCTGCTCTCCACACTAACCAGAATCCAACACATATAAAGCTTTATTTGTTAAAACTGACACTTTTGAATTACACCCAGAAATGAACTGACAGCCAGGGTCCCTGGAGCAAATACTTCTCAAAATATGGATGGCAGCATTTTGCACTGGCTGACATTTGCAAATTTAGCCTATCTTCACTCCACCCTCAAGACACAACATGGCAACTCTCCTTATCCTTGTGGCCAAAGCCAGGATACAGATACCCTCAGAGCCCAGGCAAGCCCCTGCTTAACTGGACACAGATCAGCAAAGGTTGAGCATTCACACAGCACCCTCTTCCCAGGAACAGTTGCCTCCATAGCAGTTCCAGCCCCAGCTAGCTTAGGGAGTGGAAGACTGGAAATCAACCTTAGGGAAAAGTACTTCTTAGCCATAAAGGAGAAGGCTTTAGAAAGACAATCTTGTGAATCCTATTTAAGGAAGGCTGTGACTTTTCAGGCAGTTATTCTGGCCTGGCCAGTCCAGATTAACTCAAACCTTGGCCATTTCTAGTCTATTTCACCATTTCTTCCTAAGTGACTAAACTTTTGCCACAGACAGGATGAATTTTACTGCCTTCATTCCATTAATCATTATTGTGGCCTATCCACCGTCCCAGGTCACGTTACTGACTACCCACTTGAAACACATTAGGCTAAATTCTATCTTCAATCATACTGTGGAATCCCAACTGGGGTAGCACTGGTTTAACTGAGAACAGGAATTGGTCTAAGGAGAGATACACCTCTACCTCGATATAATGCGACCCGATATAACATGAATTCGGATAGAACGCAGTAAAGCAGTGCTCTGGGGGGGTGGGGCTGTGCACTTCGCAGGGCCAGCTCCAGGCACCAGCCGACCAAGCACATGCTTGGGGTGGCACCTTGTAAGGGGCGGCCAATCTTGGGGTGGCAGGGCGGCGCTCGGGTTTTTTTGTTTGGTTGGTTGGTTGGTTTCAGCGGGGCGGCGCTCGGGGTTTTTTTTTTGGTTTGGCGGGGTGGCACTCGGGAATTTTAGTTGTTGTTGTTTTGGTTCAGCGGGGTGGCGCTCGGGGGGGGGATTGTTTTTGGGTCGGCGGGGCAGCGCTCGGGGGGGTTGTTTTTGGTTCGGCAGGGTGGCTCTGGGTTGTTTTTTTTGTTTGTTTTTGGTTCAGCGGGGCGGCGCTGGGGGGGGCGGTTTGTTACGGCGGGCATTTTTATTTATTTATTTGTTTGTTTGTTTTTGCTTGGGGCGGCAAAAAAGTTAGAGCCGGCCCTGGCACTCTGGTGGATCAAAGCAAGTTCGATATAACGCGGTTTCACCTATAACGCGTTAAGATTTTTTGGCTCCTGGGGACAGCGTTATATCGAGGTAGAGGTGTATGTAGTGAAGGTAAACTGAGAACCCTACCTGCTCGGGGTTCTACAGTCCTGTTAGCACCGACATCCATGAACACAAATCGCCCGCCACCAAAATCTTCAGTGTAGTCAGACAGATAAAGCAGCGATGTATAGTCAAAGGATCCGTAGGTTACCTAGAAACAAAGAGAGCACATTAAATTACCTGACTCCAGTCTGGCCTCTCCAAAACGCAAACTCCAGCTCCAATAGGTCTGAGGGACTTTTCCAGTTCTTCACATCTTATTGTAGACATTAACTGAAAAGCTCTCTAAAGCTGGGAACAAACTGTTCATTTCCTAGTAGCTTTAGAAAGACTATCGACCTCTGTCAGCCTAACCCCTCTAGCTATTTTTTCTCCTAAGAAAAAGGATACCAGCTCCTGACCTGACATTTTGGCCTGATGTTAAAAAAGTATAGGAACACAGAGATAGATATTGTATCAAGATGAAAACTCTGCAGGGCTGGAGATGAAAAGGATTCTCGCAATCTCTGACGGATTAGTTTCCCCTCTTATCTAATCACAGATAAGAGGGCTATTTGGGCAACTCACCTTTCACTCCCTCACCCTTCCTCCCTTTCATCTGCTAGCATACAAGGACTCAGATGTGCTGATGATTCAGATCTTCCAAGTGGACTTACATCTGTTAGAGGAACAGATCCTCTTTTTTACTTTGTTTTGTTAAAAAAGTTCACAGATGGCTTTGGAAATAAAATGTTTTTCTACAAAGCACTGAGGACCACATGTTTTAAGTTCATCACACGCTGTGCCTTTTAAATGTCATAATGCCCTTCAGACTGTCTTTGTCCTTAACAATTTCTTTTTATTTTACAGTACTAATTTTGCTTGATACCTGGGTTCAAGAGGAACAAATTAGAACTATTCAGATCAATAAATGCCTTCCAAACCCATAAACTGTCTTGACATTTCCAGTTCAATTATTTTTTTTTTTACGTATAGGTGCACCAGTGTCAGATAAAGCCAAAATTTTGACTGAGTAGCAGTTGCATACATGAGCAATAACAATAAGAGAGAGAATAAAATGAGATTTGGAGAAAATTAAGATACCAGATGGAGGATGAGGCTCTTCTTTACATTTATTTCATTTTGCTATTTTGAGCCTAAGGATTTAAAAGAAAAGTTACATCAGAAAAAACAAGCTGTATTAAAATCTAAATGTGGAGTAAGGGAATTTCAGCCTTTCCCTTTATCCTCTTTGTCTAAACCACATTACAAATGCAAGGCAATGTGGAAGGGCATTAAAGAAAGGGATGTTATTAATGAAATTTTAGTCCCAATATCCTGAAGGTTCATCAACTTTTTCAGGCTAGTAATAAATCCCCACTCCATAATTCGGTCTTCCTTGCAGCCAATATTGCAGAGACACCTTCAGCTAAAAGGACATGTTGGCTTGCACTGGAGATAAGACCACAGGTTGCTTCAGGAATGGGAAGGCTGCCTCTCTCATTTCACACTCGTTCAGTGCGACTTACTCTCTCTCTTACGTGCTTGCAAGTCTGAGGCTTTAGGGGCTTTTATTATGGTATACAATCAACAGTGCAGTGCTCCTCTCTCCCTTCATGATGTCCTCCATTCTCTCTCAACCTACCTCATCAACTCTGACCCTATGACCTACAAAAAAATGGCCATGTGGCTACCTATACTTTTTCAGACACTGAAAAGGGGACATTCCTCTGACTGCAAACAAAGTTAGTATATACAGTTCCTCCTCCTAATCTATAAACTTGAAAAAGAAATTGTAAAACCTTATTTGTCTATGTTTTCAGCAAGGCTCTGGCCAGTCCTCTGCAAAACCAATTTTTCAGCAATAGTGCATTTGCACCAGTGATACTAACCAGTGAAGAGCTGGTGCTGGTTTTTTTTGTTTTTTGTTTAGTCAGCATGTCCATCTAACCTTTAGCAGCAAATAGCTTTTTCTATTACTGTTCTTCACGATTGCTAGCACTCAAAGGTAGATCAGTATTAAGAAGTGGTGACACTTTATAAGTGGTCACTGAATGACACTAAATTATAACAGCCTCTCTGGAATAACACAACATCCTATGAATATCAACTAACATTAAATATCAAAAGGCTTAATAAATTACATGAAAAAAACCGCTATTATAATTTAAACCAACTAATAAAAGACATACCGACAACTACAGACAGATCAATTTTCAAAAGTTCTTTATGAATAATTTAACTTAAAACATATGGATGTGGCAAAGCAAAGATCATTTAGACATTTCTGCTAGTTAGTTTGCACAGTCATACAGCATGAGCCAACAGAAACTCTCTAAAGTGCACTATGCAAATCTGTACACCCTTTATAATTTGCATACCAAAATGACAGATTTAATAGCGGATGCTAATTTAGGCCTCATGTTACTAAAACTGCTTTATTTTTTCAATGACAATATGATTAGCACATTATGAAATGTTATATGTTAAACTAAATTACAACTGTCAAAATTAAGATATTTTGTAATGGATCCTCCTTGATTTTTTTTAAAGTTTTGTTTATTTGCTTACTCACCAATTTGATCATTTCAGTAATTTGAAATAGGTTTCCCTGTTATCATTAGCAAGGATATACTTTTTATTCGTGTTGTGCTTCAAGATACAGAGACTAATGTGAATAGGCCTGAATTTGTACCCTATCCATTTTCCAATCACACGGTCCATGGCATATGAGGAAACTGATAGATCAGTAAACTGGTTCTGAGCCCAAAATAAGAACCCCATTCAAATGCAAACCAGCTATGATGCAGAAAAACTGCCTTCTTACAGAGATGAACAACTGTGGCCCCTATTGGCATTCAGATCTGTTCAGGCAGTACCTGGAGCCCATTCAGAGCCCCACTGAACTCTCTGGAACACTCTGTACAAAACCCTAGGAGATAAAGTGCTTTCCCAGACAACAGGTGGAGATGTGGGGCATTTTTGTTTAAAGTTCAGCACACTGCATTATCAGTAGCAGAGAGGGAAAGAAAGGTGGGGTACTGATTATGTTTCACAATCAATTCTTGAATGGCTTGGCATGTGGATAAGAATTATATTCAGAGACATTCCGACACTTTAAAAAAAGTCTAACAAACCTATGGTTTTAAACACTCTCCTCCCCCAACCATTCACCAAGAATTAGAGGTAAAGAACTGCTGCTTGTAAATGAAGCTGTTTATTTACAGACCCAAAATAGCAACATTTCATCATCAACCACTAATAACCTTCAGTCTTTATCATGTACCTATCATTTGATATGATTTGATTTCTAATAGTGTCTGTGACAGTTTGGACCCCCCCTTCTGGGGTGCCACCGGTTGTGCAGGGGTCCCAAAGCCCACCGGTCCTACCAGCCTGGGTTTTCCTTGCACTGGGTTGCTGTGCCAGGCTCTCAAGCCCCTTTCTAGCACACACCCAGGCAAGGCCATGTGTGCAGCTGCAGACAGACTGAAATCAGCTAAGGGAATGGCCAGCACTCCAGTGCACGTACCACCAGGAGTGTAAACCCCAGAATAAGATTGTCTTGCACTATATAGAAAGATCTGCACAGCGCAAGCTCATAGAAATTCACCCTCTCCCTCAATGAGGAGAGAGATATGCAAAGCTTTTTGCCACCCTTATATGAATTGCACAAACTGGGTTTTGAAATAAACAAGAAATAAGTTTATTAACTACAAAAGGTAAATTTTAAGGGATAGCAAACAGAACAAAACAGATTACTGAGCAAATAAAACAAAATACTCAAGCTAAGCTTAATATACTCAAGAAACAGGTTACAAAATGTATTTTCCCACCCTAAATGTTGGTTTAGGCAGGTTGCAGAGTTTCTGTAGTTTAGAATTCCAGTTATTTCTCTTTACAGACTGGACCCCTGTCTCAGCCTGGACTCAGCCCCTGTCTTTCCCTTCAGGTGTTTTTAGCAATCTTCCTTCTTGGATGGGGAGGCAATTAAGAAGAGTCTTGATTGCCATACTCCCCGGCCTTAAAGAGAATTTACATAAGGCGGGAACCCTTTGTTTCCAGTGGAAAAATACCAACAGTGCCTAAATGTGTTACTCCGTACCAGGTGACATTATCAGATGACCCATCAGTTTCAAAGCAACATCCCAGGAAGCTCCTCAGGATGGTGGGATATTAGTATCTTCAAAGTTCAATTGTCCTTCTTAAATGGCTCATTCAGGCTGATTGCCTACTATCTGGTAGGCATTCCCCCAAATACACACACAGTTGTAATTGTTACAAAGTCAATATTCCTAACCTCAGATACAGAAATGATACATGCATACAAATTGGATAAACACATTCAGTAGATCATAACCTTTTCAATTATACCTCACATGACCCATCTTGCATAAAACATATCTTAGTTATGCCATATTCATATCATAATATTTCTATGACCAATATGGGGTGTAACGTCACAGCATCTACATTGAACAACAACCTCTCTTCTCAATCTCCAGCTAACTCTCTTTTCTAGCACGCTTTTCCCCCCTGACTTCACTTTTGGCCCTGTCTTCTTCTTAGCATATGTGCAACGTGCCTCAAGTGGCCCACAACCAGGATTCATCACCAAATTTGGTCTACGGGTTGGATCATCAGCTTCCCCGGCTCGGGCGCTGATGGGGAGCACGACATGAACGCTGATCCATGTCCCCCCTTGGCCCTATAAAAATACTGAAGTATCCTTTTTATGTGCATATATGGTGCTTAAATAAATAATATTAATAAATAATAATACTACATACATAGATAAATTCATTCAAGATGCAATGTTTGGATCCTTATTTCAAACACCTCCATGTTCAAGCACAACGCTAATAAAAAGGAAATGTTATCAGAGCAAAAAGTCTTCAGAAACTTTTTGACAGAAACACTGAAAACAATCAGGAAGTTGCCACAACGTGCATAGACCAACTGACTGGGGGAGACTTCAACAGAGCATCCCCGAGGATATAAACTGGATATTTCACTCCTGCTGTGGTAAATGTAACTTAAGGAATGTTATGGAAAGATTAAATCATCTTTTTTTCCTATTCTCCCATCTGTAGATACACCACTTACCATAAAACCACTTGAATTTGGATGCTTGTGGTTTTGGAGAGCCACTAGATCTGAGATATTTTGAGGGCTTGGAGCAGTAATTTTACACT